GTAAACTTTTATATGATATCTCAGCTAAGTATAATAAATTTATACATTTGCACAGAAGGTACATGACCATACGCTCAGAAAAAACTGGAGAACTCGGAAATAAAGTATGGAAAACTGGGGATCTGGTGTCTTCCAGACAGAAAGATGGCAATGCTTGTGGGTCCTTTGTGATGCTGGTAAGGATTGTTAGCCAGAACAAGAGGCCCAATGGGCCTGTATCGCTCACCTGCCAAAGCATGTCAGAAAGTTAAAATTGTACTTTCATGTTACCTTGAAATTGGGTCAAGGTCATTCATTTCAACAAACTTGGTTGCACTCCAGCTACAGGCTTAATATCAGTACTTTGGGCCTTATAATGTTTATTGAGAAGAAGTCGTTTAAATATCTTAACATATTTGACCCCTGTGACCTTAAAAGTGGGTCCAGGTCATTCATTTGAGGAAACTTGGTAGGGCTTCATCCCAGCTTGCTACAGATCCAATATCAGCACTCTGGGCCTTTTGGTTATTGAGAAAAAGTTGTTTAAAGATTTTAACACATTTGACCCCTGTGACCTTGAAAGTGGGTCAACGTCATTCATTTGAACAAACTTGGTAGGGCTTCATCCCAGCTTGCTACAAGCGAAATATCAGAAGCCTGGGCCTTCTAGTTATAGAGAAGAAGTTGGTTGAATAGAAAAGTTGACGCCAGACGGACGGCCGGACGACGGACGCTGCACCACGGCATAAGCTCACTCCTTATGATATTGACATAATTGTTAGAAAATAATTATGAGATACGGTAATTGCATTAAACTCTAGTCATAAACCTGGATTATTTTTTAAATTATGTTTTTAACTCATCCAGTCCAAAAGGCCAAGTGAGCTTAGGCCATTGCAAGCACCATACCGTCCGTCTGGCCGTTATACTATTTTAATGCCCCTGCCATTTATTGCCAGGGGCATATAGCATTGCCCATGTCGGTCCGTCCCGTCCCGTCGCTTCCCAAATCAGTATATAACAGTATATACCAATTTTCATGAAACTTCATACAAACATCAAGTATGGAAAGACCTCATGCAGTGTTGAGTTTCTCGGCATTCTACAAATGGCCACCAGGGGGAGATAACTGAAAAAAGATGAACATCATCTGATTTCTACATAATTTGGTACTTGTGGGTTTTAAGGCATAAGGAAGACAATGGTTACCTCTGTTTTTCAAAAAGACAAAATGTCCACCTTGGGAAGATAACCCTCTACTATGGGGAGATAACTCTTACACCAAAAATTGAATTAATGTCCTATTTTGCGGAAAATTGGTATAAAGGGGTTTGGTGCCATTACAAACTGCATAGTGATGTCTGTTTTGTAAATAGAAAACTAATTCCCCACCAGGGAGAGATAACTCGAAACATCATGAACATCATCAGAGTTATACAAAATTTGGTATATAGGGTTTTTTGGACACAAAGAAGCTAGTTTAATTATCAAACTTCATACAAATATAAAATTAATTGAGAGACCTCAGGCAGTGAGGATTTCAATGTTTCCAAGGTCGAGGTCACTGTTGGTATTAATAGATCCCAAAGAAACCCTATCTTATGTACAATTTAAAATTGATTTACATGGGGGCGGGGGCATCTATGTCTTACAGACATTTTCTAGTTTTCTATTTAAACAACTTATTATTGCAACAACCAAAAGGCCCAGGAACATGCTATTTGGCTGAAAGGTTCCTTGGATGAAGTTTGTAAGAAAAATGACCTTGACCCGTATTAGAATGAAATATGTTAAATCATTGAAATAACTTCTGATGATTAACTTAAACATTTAAAGTTATATTTACATGGAAGGTTCCATAGAGGAAGCCCAGCAAAGTTGATAAAAAAACTATCACCCATATTAAAGGTTGATGTGTCAAATTTGTTTACACGACCTATTCTAGTGACCAGAACATCTTGAAGCATTGTTTAAGGAAAAGAAAAGCACTTAGATCCCTTGTTTGCCAACTTGTTATTATGCCTAGCGATACTGGTCCTCTGGGTCTCTTGTTACAAATTTATGGTTGGATTGAACTATAATAGAACTATTGAACTGACCATCATGGAAGTTGTAATTTAAAAATCTAATACTGTTCAATGATGTCATTTAGTGCTTTTACAGTGAACTTAAGTTTTAACATATGTAACATTAAACACAGACATGAATCTAAATAGTTTATGTAATGTTTAGTTTTCTTGTTTTACAGAATGCTCTTGCGCTGTCCAAGAATATGGACCTTAAGGATGTCTCACATTCCCTTTCTCTGAACATGAGGGAGTTTGTGTGGTGCAAACTACTTGCAGCATCTGAAGAGCCTCCTTCTCAAAGGAGCAAATGTGACATGGTGGGCTGTACCTCCCCAAAAAGAGCAACATGGGTTGCATGCAACGTTTGTGGGAGATGGTCACATCTGCCTTGTGTAGGACTTAAAGATGCTCCGAGGAGTGACTACATTTGCCCCATATGTGTTGCTCAGTATCAGTGAGCGTTTTTACCAAGTGTCATCGTCATCTGAATAACCAATAGTAGCATTATTTTTGTATCATAATATTTTTGAGAACTATTCATGTGCAGTGAAGTATTTCAAATGATTGTGACATTCAAGGTTATTACAAGCATACGAAGTATTGTAGTACAATTCACAACTAGGAAGGAAGGGAAACCTACTTGTGAATTTTGAAAAACATTCATACTGTACTTCTGGAGAATAGTGATAACCAACTTGCCAGTCAAAATCCAAGATGGCGGCCAGCGGCCATGTTGCTTCTTGAATCAGCCCAAAAAAAGACAATTGGACAACTAGGAACCGAGATGGGCCTACATATCAAATGTGAAAAAAGATTCATTCAGTAATATCTGAAAAATAGTGATAACGAAAGACAGTACAATGCACAACGGGAGAGGGGAACCTACAAAAAAAATGGAAAAAAAAGTGGTAACAAAATGGACTGACCATGGACCAGAACCAAAGGCAAACTTGAACATCCTACTTTCTTATGATGGTGGGCTGCAAATTAGGAATCAAATGCCAGTGAAGGCAGTGAGAGAGTCTTGATCTGGTTCTATCTGTTGTGATATTGAAATGAAAACAAATAAAAACCAGACAATGATGTGTGAGAGTGTAGATCTGGTGGTGGTATCTGTTGTAATATTGAAATGACAACAGATAGAACCAGAAAATGATGTGAGGGAGTGTAGATCTGGTGGTATCTGTTGTAATATTGAAATGACAACAGATAGAACCAGAAAATGATGTGACAGGGTGTAGATCTGGTGGTATCTGTTGTAATATTGAAATGACAACAGATAGAACCAGAAAATGATGTGAGGGAGTGTAGACTGGTGGTATCTGTTGTAATATTGAAATGACAACAGATAGAACCAGAAAATGATGTGAGGGAGTGTAGATCTGGTGGTATCTGTTGTAATATTGAAATGACAACAGATAGAACCAGACAAAGATGTGAGGGAGTGTAGACTGGTGGTATCTGTTGTAATATTGAAATGACAACAGATGGAACCAGAAAATGATGTGAGGGAGTGTAGATCTGGTGGTATCTGTTGTAATATTGAAATGACAACAGATAGAACCAGACAATGATGTGAGAGAGTGTAGATCTGGTGGTATCTGTTGTAATATTGAAATGACAACAGATAGAACCAGACAATGATGTGTGAGAGTGAAGATCTGGTGGTATCTGTTGTAATATTGAAATGACAACAGATAGAACCAGACAATGATGTGTGAGAGTGTAGATCTGGTGGTATCTGTTGTAATATTGAAATGACAACAGATAGAACCAGAAAATGATGTGAGGGAGTGTAGATCTGGTGGTATCTGTTGTAATATTGAAATGACAACAGATAGAACTAGACAAAGATGTTAGGGAGTGTAGACTGGTGGTATCTGTTGTAATATTGAAATGACAACAGATAGAACCAGAAAATGATGTGACAGGGTGTAGATCTGGTGGTATCTGTTGTAATATTGAAATGACAACAGATAGAACCAGAAAATGATGTGAGGGAGTGTAGACTGGTGGTATCTGTTGTAATATTGAAATGACAACAGATAGAACCAGAAAATGATGTGAGGGAGTGTAGATCTGGTGGTATCTGTTGTAATATTGAAATTACAACAGATAGAACCAGAACATGGTGTGTGAGAGTGTAGTTCTTGTTCACATTGTCTGTGTTGCAATTTAATAAGGGCAGAGATGTATGTATATCTCATGTGTTATATATATGCCTCTGATATGGGTGACTTACTGCATCTCTCTGATGGATGTAAACACATACATATAACATAATTAATTATTGAGTTAAAACAGTTATTATTTTACGTTTATGCTTCTTTCATATTGCTTGAATTAACATGTTATATGGATTTGTTAATAAACAGCTATGAACAGTTGATATTTTCTCTCATTTTTTTGTCATGAGAACTAGTCATTGTCTAAAATGGGGATACGATACCAAAATTATTGCTCGAGTCACATACACACGTACAATGTAGACTACTGTACCGTACTTACAGTGTACTTATTGCAGCCGAAGGATTTCGAGTTTGAATATACCTTTTAAACTACAGGTGGAAATCAGGACTTAATAAAAATGATAAAAGAAATTCCATCCTAATTAAATCATTCAACAAAGTCTTTCGGAATGCAAAGTATTGGAGTTCCGTGACACATGTTATATACCAGCAAAGTATTATGTTGAATGAAATATATTAGAGGTGTAACGATTCACCGGTGCATCGATGAATCGTATCGTGGCAAGAGCACCGATACATCGTTGTGGTCGCTAATGGTATCGCGATACCTTAAAATAAAAGAGTTACCGCCCTTAGAAATGGTTATTAATATTAACCAATGATATTTGTTCATTCACGACTAAGACAAACATGGCTGACGTAAGTGAAAAATTGGTCTCGCCACCGGCGGCCTTTAAGGCCTCGTGTTGGCAGCACTTCAAGTTCCGTGCCTTTAAAAAAGATGATAGCGCAACCTGGGAGACCGACAAGTCAGTCGTAATTTGCAATGAATGCGGAAACAAGTTAAAGTATTCAGGAAATACGACAAACATGTCAACTCATCTACAACGGCACCATGGGGGTAAAACACCAGGTAGGAGACAACCACCTGCCTCCGAGAAGGAATCGGCACCAGTGCAGTCAATCAAAACAATGTTCGGCGCCAACAGAAAACTAAAGCATGACAGTAACCGAGCCAAAATGATTACAAAGTCCATTGCCGAATTTTTTGTGCAGGATCTGAGACCATTTTCTGTGGTTGAAAATATTGGATTTCGGAGAATGATTAATACTTTGGAGCCTCAATACACTATTCCTTCAAGACAACATTTTACAGACAAAATCATTCCAGAAATGTACGACAAGGTTAAAAGTGAGCTTTTGGGCGATTTGGAAAAAGCAGAAGCTGTCAGTGTTACGTCAGATGGATGGACGTCGCGAGCCACAGAATCGTATGTAACAGTTACATGCCATTACATTGATGATGAGTGGAATTTGAAAAACAAAGTTCTGCAGACAAGAAAAACTAACGAATCACATACAGGTGAGAACATTGGACATATTTTAGTGAATTCCTTTGCCGAGTGGAACATATCAGACAAAATCTTTGCACTTGTAACAGACAATGCTAGAAATATGAAGTCGGCTGCAAGGGAAGCTAATTTAAGTAACCATATAGGTTGCTTTGCACACACTCTTAACCTTGCAGCACAGAGAGCTGTTGGAGTAGGAGCACTGCAAAAATCACTTGTAAAAATTCGAAAAACTGTTGCATATTTTCACCGCAGTAGTACAGCGTTAGAAGTATTGAAAGAGAAATGTACTCTCCTGAAACTCCCTAACCTGAAATTGAAGATGGATGTTGTGACAAGGTGGAATAGTACATATGAAATGGTAGACCGGTATCTGCAGTTACAAGCAGCTGTACAAGCTTCACTATTGAGTAAGGACTTAAGAATCAAACAAGATATCCTCAAGCCCCTTGCATTGACAGATGAAGAAATAATAGTGGCGGAAACACTTGTGCTGGTGATGAAACCCATGAAAACTGCTACAGTTATTATGTGTGATGAACATTCTCCAACTCTATCAGTTGTGTGGCCCCTGTATCAACAAATATTACGCAGTGTCAGGATTCAGGATGATGATAGCCGATGTACCATCGCCATGAAGAATGCCATAGCTGATGACCTGGCTGGGCGTTATGATCATGTTGAGACATTCTTGCAAATGGCAAGCTTTTTGGACCCAAGATTTAAGACCCTGCCATCATTGAATGATGTTGATAGAGTGGGACTTGTGTCTAAACTTACCCTTGAAGTGGCAGAACTAGGAAACCAGGTACACAGAATACACATACATACAATATTTGTAGTTTAATATTTGTCTTGCTAGAAAAAAATTACATCTTTGTATTACAATAGGTAATGTATGGTGGTTTACCTGAATTAAGAGCTGAAAAACCTGCATGATTGATTGATATAATATTTTAAATACACCTTATTAAACACACAACACTTTAAAATCATGTAGAATATGTAATGCTATCCTATTCCTATTCTATTTTCAGCCCGTAGTGAAGACTGAGCCTGTAGATACTGCCGAAGTTCTGCCATTACTGGCAGCTCTCCCGGTGGAGAAGCCACAGCTATCAGGATCAGACTCTGATGAATCCCCAATAAAGAAAAAATTAAAGACAGAAAATGGAACTGGTTGTGCACTCAGTGACTTATTAGGTGATGTGTATATTGTGAAAGAAGAAAAGAGATCGAAATCAAATTTGGAGATGGCATCGGACGAGGTTGCCGCTTATCAGAAAGTGGATACCTTGCTCATGAACCAGAATCCTTTATTATGGTGGAAGGAAAATGCATATTTGTATCCCAGACTCTCCAAGTTAGCTAAACGCTATCACTGTGTACCAGGCACATCCGTACCTAGTGAGCGAATATTTTCGTGCGCAGGGGACATTGTTACTGCCCAGCGAAGCACACTAAAATCAAAAAATGTTGACGCCTTAATCTTTCTAAAAAAGAATTTTGAACCATGTTGAAACACCCTTTTGAAATCGGCTTTGCTGGTTTGAGAAACAATAAAAATAATGAAAACAATACACTGATTTCATCTGACTTTTTCTGCACACTGAAAGCAATTCTGATGCAAGGTAATGAGTTATGTAAATCTGTTGAAAACAAATGGAGATGAAAAAGAAGTTAACATATGAAAAGATTTGCTTAACCATGGTTTGGTAATAATATCTGTTGAAATAGGAAGTATCGCGATACGTATTGTATCGTGACCAAAGTATCGCGATACGTATCGTATCGTCACTACCCTTGCGATACACAGCACTAAAATATATTAATAGAAACCGAAAGTACAGAAGTGCGCATGCCGAAAAAAATACACTTCCTGTTCTGGTGCTATCTGTTGTAATTTTCCCCGTCCCCCTTGCAACTGCTGTTACTGTTACGCTCCATAGAACGCTAACAGTATGCTCCATCTATCTCCCTCCAAACTCTGACTTTACAAACAACCAACTAGAAGAACTCCTTTAATGGTCACAACAATCTTTGGGGTTCACTCGACACTAATGACTGGAACACATTGAAAATCATGTACCCCATTGGAAATTATATAAAGCAGATTGAAGTAAATTTGAACATCTCGGTACCAAAATTCTCAACACCATTGATTTCTTGAATTGAGAAGACCCGACAAGAATCCTTTACTACCGAACAGATAGCCGAAGAATGTATACCAAAATCTAAAAGACAATGCAATAAAAAAAAACCTTGGATTAAAGAAGATTGTGATAAAGCTATTTGAAATAGGAAACTCGTTATGAGGTAATTCAAAAACAACCCCACAATCGATAGCTTAAACAACTACAAAATTACTTGGGTGAAAGCCCGTCGTGCTATACGATTTCACATTTGTTTTTTTATTTCTTTTTGGATCGCTGTGTGTTTTACCGTTTGATGATCCTAATGACCTCTTAGGTATTGATGGGCCGTTAAGAATGTAATACTATTGATTATAATTAAACAAATTTTAAAAGCTCAGTGGCAGTATGATTTGAATTCCTATACCAATAACAAACTGCACTCCGTTAAACCTGTTATCGGTGAATGGTGTCCGGGCTATAGAGACAACCACCGAGACGAATGTGTTTGTGCCCGTCTTCGGATGGGTCATACACACCTTACACATTCATATATCTTGAAATTTTGTATTTTGTATTTAATTTTAATACCTTATACCAAAAAATATTTACAGTTAAGCTGATTATAATCATCAAATAATTTAAAGTCTTGCTTTTGAAAGGAAATGGTGTTTATGATAGCAATAAATGGTATTTTTCTGCAATTATGAAATCAGAATTAGCACAATGCAAACGTTCATTGTTTGCATGAAATGAAATGGCTGCGAGAGCTCAGTCGGTTTGAGCGCTGGTCAGTGTGGTCACTATCCTCGGGTAAAGATCTGAGGTGCGTGTTCGACATTCGCTGTCGGTGTTTCTTGGGAAGCCGTTGGTTGTGTCCTTGAATGACATGCGACAGTCCTCCTGGATGTTCGGTGAGGTAGTTACTAAGTATTACAAGGAGACCCCGCCTCAAAATGACCACGGCAGTTAACAGGTGATACAAACATCAAATGAACACCTTAATAATACGGGTACCTAACTATACAATGCACTTTCACATTTTGTGGTATTCAACTCACTAAACATAAAATTATATACTAAAGAAAATTATAGGAACATCAGTAAAAAAGTATATTCTATAGTTCAGATGAAGAGATGGAACCAATGATTAACTCATAATTCATTCACACTCACAGATGTTATATAAATTCTGTTATAATTATAGTATATCATTGCTGATCTATCGGTATAGATTTAGTTAATTAACGATTAATAAACATATAATTTTCTATTCACCAACATTAAATCCCTGTGTCAGTGATATATAATACATTACCTGATGGTAGCTATGTATATATTGTCAGGACATTCATGAATTATGTATTCATGAAACATCATTTTACACTATATATCGTTTGTATTTTCACATTTTTAAAAAATTAATTATCCTGACTTTTCTTTGCAAATTTCAATAAATCCTGAATGTATTACCAAGTATATTATCTGCCAATATTTCCATATTTTTCAGTTGCTTACAGATTAAAATGAAAACATTATCATCAGAAATACAAGAAAACAGATTCTTTTCTGTGTGACCAGAATGACCACAAGCCACAGAAAGCATGACTTAAGGACAGTCGCATGCCCACGACATCCTTAAATCAATCACATCAAAATGGAAAAGATGAATCCAGATTTGTTTGATACAATGGGAATGGATTCTGTTAGGATGGTGTGTGTAAATGACGAAATAATATCAAGAACATACTTTCTTGCAAAGGAAAAGATCACAATCCTTTTACCTGTACCAGAATGAGGGAAATAGGAACATTATTGGAGAAAGTGAGACAAACAGATAAAACCATAATCTATGACAGTGAAGGATATGTTGCATGCAGCAAAGTTTGACATGTGACATTCCTTCATTAGCATTAAAACTTGGTCACTCTCCAAGGAAAAAAAGAAAAAATCAGGAGAAGTTGGGAGAATGACAAATGAAAATTACACCAACAGATCAGCTGTTGGACATGAAGGTAACCAGGATATCTTTGAGATTGATGATTGAAGAATCCAGGAAGTTTTCGAAGTACACATCTTAGAAAACACATAGCTACGTTGCCACAGGTATGTATGCTACATATGATATTTTCCAGAGTTAAAATGGCAAGTTTCTTTGTTTCTGTCAAATAACATACTTCAGATACCTGTGTCAGATTTTAATCAAATGTGGTACATTTCTTTCTGTAAACAAGATCTTAGATGAGTTGCCATTGATTGTTTATCCCTTATGAGAAGAATATTATCTGTATCCCAGAAAACCTTGCAGGCCATAACCTTCCCAGTTGATTAGCATGCGATAATATGCGCTTTCTGTGCTCCCGGTCATTTGTCAGAATGCATAGTACCCAATGGGCAATAAGCTTTCTTATTGTGTTATGTATAAATTTTGTGTATCAATCCAAATTCAAATGTGCCTTGTTTACATGCATTGTATCATGTTGATTGTTTACATAGAAACATGTTTATAATTATTTGTCACAATATGTGCATTTTTTTCTAGCAAGCTCGGTTACTAGAATGACCTGTGTGTTTCCGGAAGTTTCTAAATCTAGAATGTTCGGTTATTAGAATTACCTGGGTGTTTCCGAAAGTTTCTAGAGACACATGTAAACAAGCTAGGTACCTGCTAGTCTAGAATCGGCTAGACAATAATTTTCTAGAAACCTTTTTTGTATATAAACATGATGGAACCGAGCCTGAGCAGCCTTTTCGATGTATTAACATCTTGAGTGAGCTTACATTGAGACTACAGTCTGTAAAGTGTGGACTTTTTCAGTGATAGTGTCTTGTGGACTTGCAGTTATATATACTCAGCGAGGAAACCATTCTTGTCCGGATTATTCTTTGGTTACCCTGTTTTCTGGACAATGTGATTTTTTCTGGAGCTGGAGAATTTCTACGGAAAGATAAGTTCGGTCTTTTGATTAGTAAGTAGCTAGCTCTGTCCACCATCACACTACTTTTAAGTTTACTGCATACAATTTATTTGATATTTAATTGTTGACTTTTAACCTAGCTGTTGGGTTTTATTTGCTGTTCGTTAATTCCGAAACGTAACAATTGCAAGATCCTAAGAATGGAATGTACTCTTTCCTATGAAATGCCAACTGTACTATAACATTCTGTAACTCATCTGTCAGTCATAAAAAAAATATCAGAATTTATTGACCAATCCTTGAGTTGCAACAGTGACAAGCTTGCATTCTCAAGGCTCTGTCTGCCGCATTTAAATTCCGCCACCCATCATTTTACTGTAGCATATTAAGGTGCATCTTTCCATAGTGTTGCTACCATATGCTTAATATCCATACCCTAAAGTGTTAAACCATTTTATGCAAATAATGGATCACTGTTCTTTCTCCGATTTTGTCCATTTTGAAAAAAGCGGCTTTTTTATTATAGAACCCCCCATTTTTAATTGACAATTTTTTTTTATCTATTTATATATATACTATGTCGTCACAACACGTCCTCGCGCATTCGTCATAATGATCATTCACACTGACATCAGATATGCACCGATACAAAAGAAACGACACGCATATCTGTATAAAAAACCGATTGTGACAGTTAAAATGAATAGTAACACAATACTTTTCGCTCAAGGGAGATAGCCCTGTGTTGTATACACCTAAGTATACTGGTCAGGTAGTATAAATTTAGCCCGTGATTCTGATACGAAATCTGGTTTTGTTACAATTCCGGAATTCCAAATCCGGAGTCCGGCTCCGTTTGTAAATATTGTTAGTTGCGTTATGTTGGTTTCCGGTTAATAAAATGGAGGGAAAACACGACACGTTCGGATGCTGTTTTAAATTAAAGATGTACCAACGGCAACCCTCACACCCACAGCCATCGAGTTATGCCCCCCGCCTTTGACCCAACATGGTGGAGAATCCTCTTTTCCGTATTTGTGGTAAACATTTTTCATATTTTTGACTGAAATTGACAGTCATTGTTGAGTCGTGTGATCATGAGTGTAAAAACTATTCGCCACGTGGTTCCAGAATCTTACATTCATGGATAACTTTTTGAGTGACAGTTTTCGATTCAGTTCCCATGTATATGATGATGATTGTGATGATATACTAAATGAAGATTTTTTACGGGAGAACGCCATAAAAGAAAATTCTTTTAGACATTACACAGACACCGCCAAATTAAGGATGGTTATATCCAATTGTCGTAAATTCTCAGGCCTGTCACATGAAAATGCGGGGAATTTCCTTACGGAGTTTCAATCATGCGCGAGTCTATATTCGTTAGATGATCCTAAAGACGACGAGAGTGCCCCTGATCATCTTCTCCTACAAGGTCCAGCACGAACATGGCTTTCAACAAACAATTTGGGCACCAAATCCTGGACATTAGTGCATGATTGTTTTAAGCAGAAATACTTAAATTTTTCGGTGTCTGATCCCTCTCTGTTATTAGAGACGAACAATTTTATGACAATGAATTTAAGCCCTCGTGAACCATTGGAAGATTTCCATGCCAGGTTGGTTGAATCAGGACAACGTATCGGGAAAGGTGACGTAGAAATCTTGTCTAAATTCATCTCATCTCTGCCAGACCAGCTCGCATTCTTTGTTCGAGCAGGAAACCTAAATGATAGTCCAGCAGCGTTGGCATCTGGAAAAA